TTTGGAAGGGAGTCCAACCTGAGCGGCGAAGAGAGGTCCACAGTCTATCAATTGCTAGGTAACAGGAAACGATCCTTTGGTACCCAGTTGCTTATTGTGGAAATGAAGAGACTATCAAGGCAGGTAACCGGAAAGCATCCTTAGGTACCCAGTTGTTTAACAAAAAGTTCATACATTGCTCAGTGCCCAGTTTATCATGGAGGCTAAGAGACTATCAACAGCCAGCCGACAGGAAACAGTTTATTACGCACCCAGTACTTTCACTCTACCTTCATCATACCCAAAACAAACAAACAGACGTCACGATGTCAACCATACTTTTGCCCAGCGACTGCCCCAGGGTCTAACCTTGAATGCGAACTGCCCCGAGTAATTGTACATGCCGCAGGAGTGCATCAAAGTCAGGGTATTTCTCACGGCTTCCACGGTCAGCACAGGGTCCCCGGTGAGTGGGTTGATGCCGCCATTGGCCAGGGTCGCCGCCATGACCGCGCCCGCCTCCGCCGTGATCTCCAGCGAACACAGCTGAAGAAACGAGGCGCTCAGTGCCAGGAGCTTTCTAACGCCCGGAATTCATTTTATTCATTCATTTATCCTCATCAGTATAATAATATTAATGATTAATAATAATAACAATAATAATAATAATAACAATAATATTTTTTGGGGGGTTGTCAATATGAATAGAGCAGTTGATGGTTTCAGAGACAAGTTTAGGGTTGATTTTCAAATCGAAATCAGATAGCGTTAGATGAGAATTTACATGTGTATGATGAATCCACTATACGCTAAAAAGGAAAGTAAAGAAAAAAGTAAGAAAGAAAAGTGTCTGAGTACCATAATCCGAAAACAAGCAAATTAGACTCTACTGGCCGACAAAATTGTCCGAGGCTAGACACAATAAATATATGGACATGCATATACACGGAAATATATGTATATGTATCATTAGAGTTGCATTACCAGAGAAATAGATAGATGTATATTTATCAGATAGACAGACATGCATTAATTTCTGTATATATGCATGTTCGTATTTATTTTTTTATTTTCAGACTAAAGCGTAATCTTATACAACGAACAGAAACGCACTCCTCACGAACACAGACCTGGAAGTAAAAATCGAGGGTCTCGTGAAGCTTCGTGTTCGGAGGGAAGCACTTGTTCTCCCTCATGAAGTAGGCGAGAGCGAAGTTCCGGTCGGCGCACTCCCTCTCGCTCAGGAAGACGCCGTTGTTGAAGCCGAGGTACTCTCCCCCGGCCAGGCGCTTGTACATGTGGAACACCTGGGAAGCGTGAAGCGTTAATGACGCTTATTGTTGTGTGTAAGTGGTTCTTGTTTTGTTTATGTATTTATTTATTTTATCTATTAGTTTATACCAGGGTATAATATTTGGCTGCGTTATATCAGTGATACTATTCGTGTCTGATATGCGTATCTTCGTCACACACCATGCTAGAGTTCAATAATCTAAAATCACACGTTTTGTTTTGGGTGCAATCTGTTGAAATAGAAGTGTAAAGTGAGGGTATCTCAGGACAGTAGGCCCGCGGTCTGAAGAGTGCTGGATTGCTTATGAACCGTATTCATGTTGACAAATGCAGAAAAGATAGGAATGAGAATGAAAATATTCACAATACAAGAGATGCATTTGACAGGTCTCAAATATACACGTATTTCTAACGATCGAAATCAGTTAAATACATCTCTTGTATTGTGAAGATATCGATTCTCATTCTTACCTTTTCTACGTGGATTCCTTATATAGACATATTTTAATACCGTGGTTGGTGTTGTGAGATATGACACATACTGTCTCAAGTTTGGTTCGTGTCCAAAGATAAGATGCCGTTTTTTATTCGTATCACGAAATATGTCCGAGACGGAGAGTAGTTTAATATCCATTTCTTATATGGAAAACAATATATCGAACCTTCTATGTTTAGACTATTTTAAAAGTGATTTCCCATCGACTGTTCTGGCACTGTATAGAGAAGCCGGCTGTGCCTCTTGATAGTGCCAGTGCCTTGAACACTGTGAGCCTTGAACGCAAACCGTCCTTGAACTTGTGTGATGACATATTCTGACATGTTTGGTTCATCTCATAAAATATCATGTCATGTTCGATTCGCGCCATTTTGAGAAAGAAACTGATATTTGTTTAGAAAAGCTGGGCCTGTGTGTTTTGTGTCAGTGTTCGTATGTCCAATTAACTTATACATAAAATTCTCCTCTTTAGGCTTTTGTTTAAATTCTATTTAGTATTCGTGGAAATCAAGTGAAGTGTAGTCTATTGTTTGTTTATATTTATGGATGTTTATATCCGTGTGTTTATTCATGTGTGTGTGAGAGTGTGTGCGCGTGTGTGCGTGTGTGCGTGTGCGTGTGTGTGTGTGTGTGTGTGTGTGTGTGTGTGTGTGTGTGTGTGTGTGTGTGTGTGTGTGTGTGTGTGTGTGTGTGTGTGTGTGTGTGTGTGTGTGTGTGTGTGTGTGTCCTTGTGTGCGTGTGTGCATTTATGTGTGGTGTGCATGGGTGCGTGGATGTATAATTATAAAGTACATATATGCAAAAAGTTAGATGATCTCATCAAGAATACAAATCCAAGTTACTCACATAGTCAAAGCGATCAGCGGCTGACAGTTCAGGCTGTAGAAGTAAAAACATGACATTAAATAATCGTCCTCAGAGGGGAGACTAAAGCATTATTTCATACCTACACTGCAAGCTTCTATGTATAGGTTTGACAATCCCCAAGGACAGCCAGTCTGTATTTATAGAGTTGATGTACGAAAGAAGACGATGATGAAGACAAGATATTTCAAGATGTTTCAAGATATCGGAAAATGATGAAGATGAAGTGGAAAATTAAGAACATGTCGAAGAAGAAATGATGAAGAAAAAAAGATGAAGGAAAAAGCGATGATGAAGAAAAAGAAAAAGATAGAGTAAAGGAAAAAGCATACAACAAAAAAGATAATAAAAAAGATGACAGAGAATACGAAAAAGAAAAGACAAGCCATGAATTTCGTCCCATTTTGCAATACAGGTAATTGATATCTATCCCTTGACATTTCTTTCCTTTTTTCTCACTTTTTCTTTCGAGGTCATATGAGATAAAAAAGCCCCAAAAAACGAAAAAAGAAAGAAAGTCTTGCCTCACCTTCAAGAGAGCGGCTGTCATGATGGCGCCTGCGTTGATCATCGGGTTGTGAGGTTTGTCTGTGGAAGAAGGGCGCGCACGGTCATTTTAATGGCGGTTTGAAGCCCGCACCAAGATATGCGTCTTATGTTCATTTTTGGCATTATTCAAAGGTCTTTCGATCGGTTTTGGTTAATGGGATATTTCATGATATCGGTCTGGACGTTTTCTGATTGAAGGATATTAATATAATGTGTCTGAGAAAGGAATCTGGAAAAAAGTGAAGGTTGCGAAAAAAACAAGTGAAGTTCTCGATGCGTGACTTCCCCCCTCTAGTTCTGCTTTCTGTTATTCTATCCCTTATTATTATTATTATAACAATAACAAAGAAAAAAACATAAATTCATCGACGTCTACTCACAGCATCTACCGCAAATTCTATCTAATTTTGCTGTTCCCTTTGATGTGAAAATAATTCGAAATCTCATTGCAGGTGCGCTTAGTCCACACTTTAACCCTGCCCGTTTCCACACATTTCGCAATCATTGTAGTCGTTTTTCTTCCATTTTTACAACATTTTGCTGCCGTGACGCGTACCGTACTTTATTTTTGGCATTTTCAACTATAAGAATGAAAATTGGACCTAAGACATACTTGGTTCCTTGCTCATATAATTTGCAATACGATTTGCCGCCAACAGTTCTGAGAACCTCAAGTTTTTTTTCTTTTCGACTATTTCGCTATTCACTCACTTACGGAATAAGTGGCAGCGAAATAACCCCCAAGGATATTGCAGGAATCTTGCAATCATATACTTTTGATATTTATACTTTTGTTGTTGTTAAAGCAGTCCTTTTCTAGAGAATTATCAAACAGAAAGAAAGACAAAAAAAAAAAGGCCAATGGAAATAGACTTGAGAACGCCTGACTTGGATATCAATATGGCGGATGACGTCAACGCATATTTAAAACCACAAGCACATTTATGGTGTATGTTCCTTTCCTTTAGTTGCCCTTTGTTTACCATCTATTTCTCTATCCTTAATTCACCATTCTTTATCCTTTTTATTCATCGCATCTAATTTTCCATGTCCAAGTCTAATGTCAAACTTTAATAATGTCTTATTTAGAATAGCCAGGCGTAACTGCAAATCAAATTCATATCTATTTAAGTTTTCTTGATGATGATGATACTGATGATGATGATACTGATGATGATGATACTGATGATGATGATACTGATGATGATGATGATATGATGATGATGATGATGATGATGATGATGATGATGATGATGATGATGATGATGATACTGATGAAAATACTGATAACGATGATAATGATGATGATGGTGGTGGTGGTGGTGGTGGTGATGATGATGATACTGATGATGATGATGATACTGATAACGATGATACTGATGATGATGATGGAGGTGGTGGTGATGATGATGATGATACTGATAACGATGATACTGATGATGATGATACTGATAACGATGATACTGATGATGATGATGGTGGTGGTGGTGGTGACTATGACGATGACAGTGGTGGTCATGATGATGATGGTAACAGTGATGCAAATGAAGATGAAGAAGAGGATGATATGATAAAAATTAAGAAAATGAAAATGGTAGCATTTATAGTGATAATCATGATGGTGGTGGTGAGATGATGACATGAATTTGGTTATGCTGCTTCTGATGATGATAAAGATAAAGATACTACAAGCAATAATCATGATGACCACTAATACTGTTATCTTGTAAAAAAAATATGCACTGATTTGAAGATGATAATCATGATGATATATTAATGATAATAATCATAAACACAATGTGTACATGTAAATTCAAACATCATTATTATGATAATAACAAAAAAACTAATATCATTATAATTACTGTAATAATAACAATAAAAATTACAATAACAGTAATGATACAAATAACATAAATCTAATTAATATCTAATAACAATAATGATGATAATTGATTGTGATTGGTAATGATTATAATGACCTGCTAATAACAGGTGCCATGATGATGAAAATGTGATAGTGAAAGTGATGATTTTGGTGAAGCTGATGGTCATAGCAGTGATGGTGATGATGATTACAATAACAATGATAACAATAAAAGCAACACGATGATGGTGATGATGATGATGATAATAATTAATAATAATAATGGTAATAATAATAACAATAATAATCAATATTATAATAAAAAATACTGCAACAACAGTAATAATATCAATAATAATAAAGATAAAAATAAAAGCACTACTAATGAATAATAATGGCAATTACAACAATAGGCATAATTATAATAATAATAATAATAATAATAACAATAATAATGATAATAACCATAATAAAAACAACAATAACAATAATAATACAATAATCAAAATAACTTATACGATGATAACAAAAAGCCAGAGATTTCAATATCAAACCCCTATTGCTCTCTTGGCCGCACATATCGCCGACCCACAAAAGACAAAGGCTATACTCACCGTTCGCATAAGAGTGTGTGTTATGGCAGCATCGCAGGTTGACTGACTGCTTCTACAGTATGTGAAAAGTATTAATGCCTCTGCTATCGAACTCCAGCCAGTTAGGGACAGTTAGAACAAGGTGTAAATGGGTATTTTGTATAGACCTTGAGTCAGAGGGCGTGAGAGGTTGGGCTAAACCAGGGGAGGTAGCGAGAGGGCGGTTGTTTCTATGCAGGTGTTGCGAGCTATGTGGGGTATGGGTAAGGATACGTACGTTCTCGTGCTTCTGTACTTGCGTGTCTGTCTCACTCGCTTTTACTGTGGTGCTTAAGGTATCATACTATATCTGTCTCTCTCTCACTCACTCACTCATATATACTCTCTCTATATATAGGCACACACACACACACACACACACACACACACACACACCACACACACACACCACACACACACACACACACACACACACACACACACACACACACACAACACACACACACACACACACACATACACATATATATATAATATATATATCTATAAATATATTTATATATATATATGTATATATATAATATATATATATATATATATATATATATATATATATATATATATATATATATATATATATATGCAGAAAAGATATATATATATATATATATATATATATATATATAAATATATATATAATATATATATATATATATATATATATATATATATATATATATATACCTGTAACTGTTAATGATAAAGAGTTTGGTCAGGAGAACGCAGTGTCGGCAAAGCAGTTTTCTTAATTAGAAGACAATATCGGTCCTATAGCCATAGCGGAGCGACTATGCCATGCTATGGTCTCGAGGATTAATAGTCTCAGGCATATAGCTGCGAAATGCGAAAGGCCATAGCTGAAACTAATGACTTTTTCAATCCTTTATCCGGGGATATGGGGCATGCACAGGATCTGTCAATGAAGTAAACTGGGGTGGACGTAGAAAGTTAATGAGGTAAACAAATAAATTTTTGTGGGAGATTGTCTTTCAAAAAGGTCCATGAAACAATACAGTGTTAGAGAGAAAGTAAAGTCCGTTTAAAATGAAAGGATATCAAACCCAAGGGGATTTAAAATTCTGCATTAAAGATATTACATGCTTAAACAGAAGAGAGAGATTTAACCCTACCCATAGAGGGGGCACTACTCTGAAACGAAATATGCCGCCTATTTAATAGAACGCATTGCATATTAGCGCGTGATGAAGGTTGGCTGCGAGCACGAGAACTTCACCAGTATCAGAAGCCAAGGGAAAGCGGAAGAGCTCAGCGGAGGCAGGAGGCCGAAGGGGCAAGAATGATGAAGATTTGGCAGGACATAGTGTGGGAAGATGACCAGATGCCGGACATACTGCTGTAGTCGAGACAAAGCTCGTTGTAGTAGCGTCCAGAAGGCTCCATACCAACACGCGAGTGCACAGCTTGGGCGCCCAGCTCTCCCACCGCCATCGCGTAGGTCATTACGTAGCTGGGGAGAGAGACCCCGCGTTATGCCCCGTCTCTGCTGGCTCTGCTCAGTCGCCCACGCTAGGTTAGTCTGGCTTACCTGCTGCGGCCAAACCCTGCTTTCCACATCCCCCGGAAAGAAACCTGCACTGGGACCTATCGAGAACCATCAAAGCACACTGCCCTTGCTACTTACGATTGAAATCCAGGCAAAGCTCATTGAAGTACCGGCCAGACGGCTCCATCCCCATGTAGTTGTGCACGTGCTGAGTGCCGTACAAGCCCACGGCCATGGCGTACGTCAAGGGCTTGCTAGACATTCCAGAGAACCAAAGGAAATGTATCAAACTAAATGGCAAGGGCGTCGGGTCAGAGGGTGGGGACACACCAAACCGTCACTTGTAATAAAGCATGACACTTTAGGAAATGATGAAAAGCAAGGAGATGTAGGAAACAGAAATAAGTAAATAAATAAATAGTCCTGTTATGCCTGCACATCAGAATGGAAGCGGAGAGTATGATATTGCGAAGGCAGACCTTGAAGCCAGGCTTGGTTCATAAGCCTGAATCGCTCGAAGTGCCTTGGTTCAGATGATGATAAAGGGTCAGTTTCCTGTTATCTTTCTCTCCAATATCGGTCAGCAATAGTCAGTGTAAACTGCTCGGTCACATACGAGTAATAACTCCATCAGCTGTTTAAATTAAGTGTTTCGCAAAAGGAAAACATGGAAGATTAAATAACTGTTACGACAGTATACCCTGCATTGCTACCCATACCAGATCAGAGGGCATATCTTTTATTATTTAACTGGTGTGTGTTATTAATTTTTAGGAAAAAAACAATAAACGAACTCGAAACGAATTTTGGCCTAACAACTATTGATACTGTTGTTGCCCAAGATGGAACGAGACAATGGCAGAGGTAAAGGGAATAGATGGAGATGAGGAAGAGGCAAAGGAAAGGAAGGAATTGAGAGAGGGAGGTGGGGAGAGGAAGGGTGGAACGAGAGAGAGAGAGAGAGAGAGAGAGAGAGAGAGAGAGAGAGAGAGAGAGAGAGAGAGAGAGAGAGAGACCAGAGAAACAAAGAGACAAAGAGAGACACAGACACAGCAGAAGAGTGCAATGGTGAGAATGATGAGGTGCAATCCAGCCTACCTTTTCGGGGCGAGAGAATCAGTCACGCAAGAGAGGAATTTGGAAAAGTCGCAAAATAAAAGAAATACGTAAATTACAGTAACGCTCTGGCCGGGGAGCGATTTGGGAGAGTGTAACGGCCCTAGTGTGCACAACCTTAACCTTTAAGAGCGTGGGAGTGTAGACTGGAAATTGCTGACGTTAATGGAAAGCAAGCCGTTTCTGGGGTTAGATGAGACGGCAGAACACAGAGACATATATATAATATATTATATATATAATATATATAATATATATACATAATATATTCGGTATAATATGTATATATATCCATATATATATATTATATACATATTATATAAATATATATATATAATACTATGTATATACATATATATACTATATATTTATTATATATATTATATTACCATATATATATCGTTATATGATAACGGTATCTATATTTATAGACGTATATACATATAATATATATAACATATATATATATATATATATATTATAATATAGACTATATATACATCATATATATATATATATATATATATAATATATATTAATAGCTATATATAATATATATAATGTATATAATATATATAATATATATAATAATATATATATATATTATATATATATAACATATATATATATATATTATATATATATATATATAATATATATATATACATATATATATATATATTATATATTTAGTGATATACATATTATATATAATATGTGCTGTGTGTGTGTGTGTGTGTGTGTGTTGTATGTGTGTTAGACTTGTGTTGACTGTGTATTAGTGTATGCTATGTATCGTATATACTATATATACACTATATATATTATTTATATATACTATAATATACTACTATATTTACTATATATTATATCTCATATATATTCCTCCATATATATATATATATATTTACAGATATAAAACTATATTTAATATATATATATACTACTACTCTACTTACTAATATATATATAGTATGACCTCATATAATATATATTGTGTGTGAGAGTGGGGTGAGTTGGACCCTGGCCCCATTCCAGTTAGTCTTTGTGTAAGAGATACAGAGAGCCGCTCTATTGAAGGTGTAAGAGTGAACCAGTAGCGTGACGAAACCTTAAGTGGAAGAGCGATTACTATTCGAACTATTTAGCGATCCTCATATGCGAGCTACAGTAATACAATAACACACCACGTGACCACAAATCACTCGAATATCAACGCACATGAAAAATAAACCTTCAGACACATACAGCAGCAGCCACATCTATCTACGACAGTTCCCCTGACCATGCGACACCGAGCGAGTAGCGAGGGCTATCCAATGATACAGGTATCCCCCATCGATCACGCTAGCGTGGAACATCACACACAAACAGCACACTCAAGTCACTCACACTCGAGCGAGCACCACACACACACACACACACACACACACACACCACACACACCACAGCACACACACACACACCACTACACACAGCGACCCACCACACAGATATACATTTAGCCCGTGATTATAAGCGTAAAATTTCTATATTAATATGTATATATATAATGCGCCTCTCACACACACGCAGATGATATATATATATCTATATATATAGGTGCGAGTATATCCTATATAAATACAGTTTAAAATATACGAATGATTCTATGTATGTATAAAGTATATACACCCCTATCCATACATAGACACACACACGCCTATATATTCTATTATTTTTATCTCTCTCTGTCTCTCTCTCTCTCTACTCTCACTCTCTCTACTCTACTCTCTCTATATATATAATATATATATATATATATATATATATAATATAATATATATATATATTATATTATATATAAGGTTACAATATAATTATGAGTTACATATATATACTTAGTGTAATGAAGGTGTGAGATAATGTAAATTGCTATCTGTGCTACTATATTGTAATATTGAGTAGATGCTGTGTGATGTTCAGTATTGACTCGCTGTGTTGATGTTTTGTCGACTGTGATGCTGTTGTATTAGTGATGTGTGATTTTTATGTGTCTATAATAGGTGTGTGTGTTGTGTGTGTAGTGTGTTGATCGATATCTAATATGTATTGCTTTGTGCTTTCTGCCTGCTCTCTTTGTGTCGCTGTGTGTGTGTGCCGTTGTGCGGTTGTGTGTGCACCATCGTATATGCATACTTCTCTATGTGTACTTAACCTGTACATCACATTTTCTATATGGAGTGTGTGTTGTCGCCCGGTCTGTAGTTGGTGTGTGAGTCTGTGTGTGTGACCTGTGTGTGTGCTGTGTGATGTGTGGTGTGTGTGTGTGTGCTGTGTGTGTGTGTGTGTTGTGTGTAGTGTGATGTCGTTTGTTTGTGTGTGTGTGCTGTTCATTACTTACTCCATATTGGACTTATACTATGTACCATTATCCAATTAAGCATATGCTCTTATGCTTCTTCCCATCTATATTCACTATACAACACACACACACACACACAACACATCAACACATCATATATATATAATAAGATATAATATATAATATATATAATATATTATATATATATATTATGATATTAATATATATAATATATATATATATATATTATAAATATATGTTAATATATTAATATTATATATATATGTATATATATATATATATATATAATATTTATATTATTAGATATTCATATAGTATATATATAGAAGATATATATAATTATATATATATAGTATATTATGCATATGTGTAATATTTATACATAAATGTTGTATAATGAGAGAGGAGATATATACAATATATATAGAGAGGAGTGAGTAATCAATAATTTAGAGATAATATATGAGTAGAGGAATATATTATACATCTTAGATATTATAATGACATGCATTAAGTGAGATTTAGATATGAAACTAAGATGTAAAATATAATATACATAGATATAAGTATATATATATAGTATATAATTGAATCATTGAAACAGATATGTAGTTATTATAATATTATTATGAAATGAGGTATATAGATATATATATGAGTGTGTGTGTAGTGTGTTGTGTGTGATGAGGAAGGTAGGTAAGCATGTGTGTAGTGGTGGTGTATAGTGTGTGTGGTGATGTGTGTAGATGGTTATTAAAGAATAAAGAAACCAGTACATATGCTCTCGATATTATAATTGCATACACTCAAATGTCAATCTTAATATTAGTATAAACAATGTATGATATGGTAGTATAGAATATATGACAAGCTAAATTATTAGGTTTAATTACAATAGTGTACATAATAATACATGTATACACACACATATTAATACATATACATTATTAATATTACAATATATATACATATATAATATTTTGTATATGTATAGTATAGAATATATGTATATAATATAATTATATAGTATAATAATGTAATATTTATATATATCTTTATATATATATATATACTATCTCTATATACTATATTACAATTATGCATACATTTATCTTCTTACTACATTTATATCAAATTACATGTACTCCTTACACTATGACTCATCTTACTATATCCTCACTTTATATCTTATACTCTTTCATTATCATATATACTCTCTATTATACTCTTCTATATATATATATATATAGATTAAGACAGAATTTATTTATGCTCTGTATACAACAATGTAAATCAATCTGATTATCTCACCTGGATGGTCAGGTCCACCTTCGTTCGAGAGCGATGACGGTGCCACCACATATTCATTACCATATCTTAAAATAAAATCAACGAAGAGGCAGTGTTCTACCAGCAAATCGATGAACTACAATAAATTCTATTCGCGATATTTTTTGGTTTATAATTTTATGAATAGAGCACCGAGAGGGCGCGAGCCACTTCTGCGAGAGACCGCGGAGTAGTGAATGGGAGTGTTGACATCTCAGAGAGTAGCGATGTGACCGTCACATGTACACACATGACAATCTGCCCCAGTATACACTTTCATGCCTTCTCCAGTGGCGGGAGTGTAAAGACGTCAACGCTGGTGATTGAGAGGGAGAAAATTGAGGCGATCGGTTGGGGGAAAAATGCTACAGCTAGTATGAGGAGATAAGAGTTAAAGAGGTAGAGGAATGACGCTATGAGGGAGATAAGAATATTTGAACTTGAGGAGGAAGTGCTAGAGGTGAAAAATGATGGGTGAGGTGTGA